AAACAGATTAGCAGTTGTCTAGGTCTGGGAGGTTGCAGGGTGAGTGGGAGGAAGGGGCGTGACTGCTATCTGGCACAGGTTTTTCTTGGAGGAGTGTAATGAAAATGTTCTAAAATTACTTGTGATGATGATGGCGCAATTTTTAATTAAAATATATTATTAAATTTTTATTAAAATATATTAAAAATGATTGAATTGTACTTCAAATAGATGAAGTGTAGGTATGTGAACTATATCTCAATAGAAGTTATCCAAAAAGTTATATGCATTGTAATACCAGTTTTATTCAAATTTTAAAACATGCAAAATAGTATTCCTGTTGTGCATACAAACACATTTGGAAACAAGCAGTCAAGGGTGGTATTCAAAATATTGAAAAAGTCATACTGACTCATCGGAATAGATGCCAGCCTTTACACTGCAGTGAGTGTTTGAAGAACATCCGTCCTGCAGGCAGGGGAAAGATAAACGCCAAAGTTCAGACAGCAATTACCTCCGCGCAGGGAGAGGGGAAGGACGTCAGCGAGGGGACTCAGCGGTCCTCGACGGTTTCTTTAAAAGAAGGAAATATCACAAAATGTTCAGGTTTCATCAAAGTTGTCTGGTGAGTACATAAGCATTTATTGTGTGACTCCCTATATTTTTCTTTGTGCCTGAAATATTACACAGTTTGAAAAGTTCTACATTTCTAAGTCTGTCTCATTAAAGGCCTTGACAAATGCCTTCGATCTGGGCTGTCTGTTGCGAGAGGTTAAACATTTGCCAGCACGCTGCTTAGCCCAGGCCGAAAAAGCCTGCCCACCGCCACAAAGGCAAAGACCAGAGGGATCTTCATGCACAACCTTTCTAGGTATACTCGAGGTAAACCAAGAGCCCCATTATTTGGAGTCGTTGTCGCCCAGTCCTACTGAAAAGTTTGCCCTGAAGTAGCAGGACTTGCCATTGAGCACGAAGCGAAGGGTTCGCCTTCACCGTGCCACACCCCCAACCACGCCTCCAAATCCCGCAATCCAGCCTGGTCCAACACTCCTTAAGCAGCACAGCCCGTAGCAAAGTCCAAGGTCTGCCAAAAACTCCCTGACCCGGAAGCAGAAGGTTTAAGAGCATTTCTGGTAACTACTGGATTAAACCCCCGATTTCTGGGAGCAGTCTGCTAAAAGTTAACTTCGTGGCATAGGCATGTAGTTTGAAAGACTCTGTCAGATTTTAATAACATAATCACAATATTCCAAAGCCAAGAACACCAAACAAATTTAAAAAAGAAGAAGAACCTAGTCTTTCTTGTCCTTTTCGACACATTGCTTATTACCGGGGTTTAACAGCTTTTTAAATTTCTTTAAGGTATTCCAAAGGCTGTATTTGAGAGTACATTAACAGTTTATACCGAATTCAAAATATATTGAAAGTAATTACTACATGTTAAAAGCAAGCTCCCCGCATCACATTCACCCAGATTCCCCCCAACCCCACCCCTTTGTCACAGTCTCTTTGCTCTCCTTGTACAGAAAGAGTCCAGAGATTAAAAGTAGGTATGAGAATGAGATGATGGGCCAGCAGTAATAATAAATCATGTTGTGGGTGGTTGGTCAGATTACTTTAAAGACATTTCTGTGTTCCCCTACTATAAGAAGCTCCTACATTACATAAACTGTTTTGAGAGTTAATCCCTTTCCTCATGTGACTCATGGTCTTGTAAATCCTTCCAGAGGGGATAAAAATACAATGGATTACGGCATTGCAGCGTCTGCAATTCCCAAGGAAGAAGTGGCTTTAGACATTTATATTCCCAGCTTGGCAACTGAGGGCCAGTAAGTGTGTCCGAAAGCAGTTGGAAATCGGACAGTTTGTGCTGCAATGCAAGGACAGGAAGCATTGCGAGTTTCTGCAGCCGTGGTTGGCTTGAGATAATACCATTGTATAACCAGGCGCAGCGACCGCTCCCACCGCTGAGAGCCGGGCCTGGCGTCTGGCTCCTTGGCTGCAGGCCAGGCTGAGGTCCTACCGTCTGAAGGCAGGGTGTGTGTCCCCTCCCAGGCGGTCCACACACACAGTGCCGGCCACACCTCACCTTCCAGAGGAAATCTGGCCAGAGAGCCAGACTTCATGACTTCTCCTTTATGAGTCTCACCCACCCCCAGCCCTCGCCCGGACTTTTGTTTCCACTTGGGTGCAGTGGTGGTATTCACTCCGCGCTCAGATCCGGATTTAAAGTCCCAGGCAGTAAACGAGCTGATGACAGGGTTATTGGAAAGATACTGTATCTCGCCGTGCCTAGCTGCCTCCACCGACAGCGTTGGGCCCTCGCTCTTCAGAAAAGCCCTAGCTCTCATCACTTCTGCAAACCGCCCTTCCCACAGAGCTCTTCCATCAGGCAAGAGCACTTACCAAGGACTATTTTAGACGGATTTAGCAGCAATATTGTTTGATTTTAACTGGACATTGTTCTAAACACACAAAAGAGTTCAAGGATGTGGTGTCGGGTTTTGTTCTTCTCCCCCCTCTCCTCCCCTCCCGGAGCTGTCAGGTTTCTCTGGGAAAATGGGATGAAAATGTTTGAGGACATTTCCACAATAAAACACTCTAAAATATTTTTTAAAGATTTCCTTTCTAGTCATGTCAAGATTATAACTCAAATCTGCAGAAGTCAGGAAATTCCAAATTTATGTTGATACTTTCCCCCTTAAAACCTTCACCAGATGATAAACAGTGTAAAACTTCAGTTCCAATTCAAAAGTTCCAAATATGACACTGATCGCCAGATTCTTCTAGTGAAAAGGTGCTTCGGTGTGAGAAAGGGTGGCCTTTTAGGAAGCAAATATAAGCTTTTAGGCCAATCATTTTTCTATGTGATTTCTTAGTACAGAAGACCAAAAAGTCATTTCAGATAGGTCGGCTTCTAGATTTAATTTTTACAATGGAAAAGAATTATATTTAATGATGGAAGCAAACGAAAAAGTGGTGGAATTTATACATGAGATCAGCAGTGCCCAAGGTGAGAATGAGTACATGGCATCAACCGGGGGACTTTTCTGCACACCCTTCATCAGTTCACTCTCAAAGCTTCCACCGGCCCCCAGTAGAGCCCTCATGGGCAGTGGCCTTGCTCCACAGGAGGACAGGCTCAGCTCTCATTGCTCCCAGCAGCTCCCACCGCTGCCGGCTGTGAGCTGTGAGACAAGACCCAATTATTTGGCAGGTCTCAGAGCCAGTTTCCTCATCTATAAAATGGAGGGTGGTCCTAGTGTGTACGTCGTGGGTTATTTGAGATTAAATGAAATAATTCATGTTAGCATAAGAAACTTCTTCCAAAAAGTTCATCATAAACACTAGTGAAAATACTGATCATCCAGGTAATAGTATTTGTGGCATTAAGGAAAATAAGTATTGTCAGCTTGAGTTGTCAGAAAAGTATATTCGACTATGCTTTAGATAGGAGCAGTAAGAACCTGATGAAAAGAAAATGTTAGGGATAAATTTTACAAGGAAAATGGAATGTACTTTTCACAGACATTTCTTGGGCCATAGAAATGACTAATTATAATGACAGAAAGAGACAGTGACAAAAGCAGAACATTTTCTCTCCAGGGTCTGAAAGACACATCGGGCTTCGAATAGAGAAAACAGGAACAGTGCGAGATTTGCACGTCATAATCAAAAAACCAAAACACGAAAAGAGACGGGCCTTGTAGGAGACACAGAAAGTAGCAGGGTAAAGGTCCACAGATTATAGAAAATCCACGAGGAAGACCAGTGAAACGGGGCCAGCGGAGAAGGCAAGCAGAGGAGTGGGAGAAGCAGGGTCTCGCTCCTCTTCACACACCTTTGTAAACCTGTAATTACCTGGCCAAAGGCCTGGGACTGGGGAGAAGGGAGACGAGCTCCAACAGGACAGTGCCAAGTGTTGACACCACATGTGTCTAACTGATGTGGTCAGATGGATGACCCAGGAAAATTAAGTCACTTTTTCAGACTGTAGTATGGTAAGGAAATCTTGGAGGACTGAAAAAAGGCAAATTTGTTGTATCTCGTGTTAAAACAGAAAAAATAAAAGGCTCCTATGGTTCTGGTCATTGAATGGATAGATGAGCTTAATTTTCATATCTGTAAGGATATTATATTTAAAAGCCATCTATCAGTAAGGAACCAAGATGACTGTGGGAAGAGGAAACCATTCCAGACCAATTTCATTTCCGTCTATGATAGACAGTGAGACCATGTAATAAAGGCAGAACAATGGATGTGAAATCTGAGGAAACGTGTGCCACCATCTGCTCATAGGACAGGGCTGGCCGTGTGGGAGCAGGGACCGGCCAGCGCCAGGCGGCCTTCCTCCTCGGTTTTCCCAGTCCCTGGTCCCTTCTTCTGAACCACCTGCCAGCTGGGGCTGCTTCTCCCTGAGTTTCATTTGCCTCGTGCTGTTTGCTTTTAGATTTGTTTCCAGCCCACATTTGTTGTTTTCTGGGTTTAAGTGGCAGTAAAGATTCTGTGGAGAAATGAGGGTAGGATTTGGAGTCAGAACAATAATGGATCCCTGGCCCCGTCATTTACTTCTCGTGTGGACTTAGGTGGGTCACTAACCCTTTCTGACTGAGATAGCTTCTCTTATCCAATGCGCGCAATCAAAATACCATTCTTTCATGATGCTCATGAGGATTAAGAACAAGGACAGCTGTAATGCCTGGTTCAGTAAGTGTTTTATTCTTTCCTAACTTTTGATCTCACATCTTTTCTAGCTCTGGACTTTATCTGGTAAGTTGGTGCTTCCAAAAAGAGTGTAATAATTTACTTTGTTATGTGTCTGATTCTCTCCGTAAGACCCCACCATGCCCTTATTTTAGTTTGGACTGGGAAGCAAACCACAGCCCTGAGGTCCGGGAATGTTAGCAAAAAGAAGTGTCTCCATCACTCAGCCAGCCACCCACTGCAGGGTCCTTTCTTCCCTTCCTCTCTACGTTCTTCATCTCCTTTCTTCTTCTTTTTCTTTTCTTTTTTGTTTCTAGGCCTTGATGTTGACAATGAAGAAATTCATGGAGTCTACAGATCAGTACCTGAAACCAAGGTTATTTCAAGACTAATCTGGTGGGGATCAAATGACAACAATATTTCGACACCAATTTGGATAAAATTGGAATCCCCAAAAGATAAAGCCTCTCTCCCTCTCTGCTATTCTCTGCTATTGCAGCAAGGAGAAGCCCAGCCCCTGTGCCCCTTGGCGTCTGACCCCAGGCTGACTTGGCCACACGTCACCACTTGCCTCCTTAATGCTGATACACCTGAATGTCCACAGGGCCGGTAAATATTTGCCTGTGCAGGAGGGAGGAAATGGCAGTTTCTGCACAAGGTAGGTGATGAGGCAGCTCATCTTTCTGTGTCAATAGTGTGAAACAAACAATGGTGATGTGCAACGATGGCGCACTATCTTTTAGGTTCAGAGAAGGGAGCTACCGATGGCCATGACCTCCAGACTCCATCTCTGTGCCTTTCAGAGCAGCCAGCTCAGAGCAGGCTGCTTTCTGCCCTGGCTGTCAGCAATTTACTTCGTTATGCTGCTCTCCATGCGCTAGAGGAGCTGACCCGGGGATTGCTGCAGGGGCTTTTCAGTTTTCTCCAAAGGGTTTAAGAATTAAATGGGTCAATTGCTTTCTCATTATTCTCAGTCTACTCGTTGCTTCCGTCTGGCAACTCTCTGCTAAAAAATTAGAAAGATGGGGGAGAAGATATACTGAGACGATAAAGGAGCAAATATGCCCAGGAAGAGGCAGCCCAAAGTGTGCAATGAGAAGTTGAGGAAACTGCCCCCAAATGGTATGTCTAACACGGGGGAAACTCGGCTGCTGAAGAAAAGGGAAACCAGTATGTTTTCCTTGATTAAATGCACGATCCTCACCGTGATACGCTCTGTTCAGACGGTGATGCGTGCTGTCCCCAATGAGCAGAGAGGAGACAAGGGGACTTTCTGCAAGTAGCTGAGCTGTCAGGAAGTTTTCTGGGAAGCACTGTCATCGGAGCAAGTCCTTGTTGGTGAAAAGAACCAGCTGTGCGAAGATCGGGGTGAGCACCCAGCCTGGAAAAACGTGAGTACATGAGTACATGAGTGTTACTGGGCAGGAAACAGCTTGCAGGCTGGAGGAACAGCCAGAAGGCCAGTTGATCAATTAATATAGTAATTAATTAATAGAAGAAACCTAAAGAATATATCTAGTTCAATCTCATTATTAAATAGACAGTAAACGTGGCCAGCGTGTCTACATGTCTATAGCACATAAATAGTTAATAAGAAAGTAGAACTAGCTCTAAATTCTTTTTAGAGGTAGATCTTTTTCAATGTCTTCTAAAGCCAATTTCTCTCTTATTTCTTGTTTCAGTTTTCCCAAGGATTTTTTCCTTGCTGGGCTTCTCATCCTTGGACATCATAAGGAACTGCCCAGATATCATCTGTAGTGGAGATCAAACAAGAATTAAACAAGCAAACAATAAGCATCATATTGACTTAACCCAACCACATCAGGTTAATTCTAAAGAGCACCTTTTACTGGCTAGTAATGTGGTGTAGCAGAGTGAGTATAAATTTCATCATATACTCATTGGGCAAGCAGTGTTCACATGCCCAAGTGTCGTTAATTAGTGATCAGGAATTGCTGGACAACAAGAGGAGCCAACCTTCAGCAGAATTTAGGAGCAGCAGGGTACAAAGTGACCATATCTTGATTGACACTGCCTTCAAAGGTTTACTAATCCCAGTATCTATGTGAATTGTTTTATGACACAAGTTGAGTTAGCAACTGGGCTGGAAGTTGATGAAAAATACTCTAAAACAAACAGCACTTAGATTTCTTGCTTATCATGATAAGATTGGCATTTGCAGATAGACCTCTGAAAACCATTCTGCTTCTTTCATGACAGAATTAAATTGATGCTAGAGGAGTAGAGAGAAGGCAACATTGCCTTGTGGGCCAGGTGTCTGTGGACTTCTGTTGTTCCTATGTAAGGCGAAGTTCGATTGTCACAATCTGAAATATGGACAAAAAATAAGTTACGTTTTATTAGTGAATGAAACTTAGGAATGTTGAATGTACACATGAAAAAAATAGTTTCAGGGAAATTTGCTTCTCAGCAAATCTGCAATTCTCATTCTCCACTGGAGCCATGTGATGGCCACCTTTGTCCGTAAAGTCGATCACTGAGCATTGACAAAAAGAAGTGCCCTGTATTTATAGTTAGTTATACTCAGCCAGTTGTGAAAATAATTTCCAATGATATTTCCTGCACACAGGGATTCTGACTGGGGTGCAAAGCAATGCAGTGAACCTTCCCCAACTAAACCGGGTCCAGGTATGGCTACGCACAGCCCCAAGTCAGCCTGCTCCTTGGCTTCTGAGTCAGAATGTGAGAGGCCAAGGAGAGAGGCTCCTCAGGGGTTAGGAAGTAGTCTGGGCAGATTCGGGAGATAGCTTCGCAGGTTCTGGAAAGAGAAGGAGACGACAGCTGCTGCTCTGAGACCAGAGGAACCAGGAAAAAGGACAGGGAAGAGGGCAGAGAAGGGGAGCAACGCGAGAGAAGGAGGGCTGTCCTCGACCCAAATCCCAAGAGCATTATGCCCACCGTTCACGCCGCCCCCTAACAATTACCTGAAGCATGAAGTATCACTTTGATAATTAAACTAGACTCTGCACATTTCTTCCTTCTTCGTAGCTTCTTGGACATATTGCTTAGTCATATGTTTACAGTTCTAGAAACTAAAGAGAACTTAGGGGATATGCATGAAAATAACCTCCCTTATTTGAGGAATGAGAATATAAATGACTAGGGCATGACAAAAGCAAAGCGAGTAGAGGAGAACATGGGTGTGATTCCAATGAAAAATATATGCCTGTTTTAAGGTAATAATCTAGACCTGGAAAGGAGAGGATATACATGAAATAGTAACAGAAGATTACCAGAACTTTATGGCATGACCTTGTTTTTAAAGGTTAGTCATTGAGTTAACTATAAGGGGAGAGGATTAAGCCAAGGCCATTTTAGAAAACTTCTGTTCTCCAGGAGATGGTTCAGAGTTGCCCTCCTGAATTTTAATTGGTCATTCCATGAACATGGATAAGTAATGACTTTTTTCTTGCATTCTTTCTCTTTGCTTCCTGAAACTCCCTTGACCCTCTCTGCTCTGGCTTAACAATGAAATCAATGGCATCGCTGCAAACCGAGGAAAGAAAATAGAGTCCATCAGGGCCTGCATGCTCTTTTTCTCAGAGGAAATTATTTTGGTGTTCTTTAATCAATGTCCCAAAGCATTGGAATTCGTATAACAGATGAAGTCTTGGAAGAGCAGGTAACAAATTAAAAGCTCAGGAAACATAGGCTTTCTACCTAAAAAGGCAACCCGCCTTCACAACAAACAATCTATCTCTCCCAGTAAGAAAATTGAGAAAGATAAGGGTTCTGCTTCACCTACGTCCATGCATGGACCCGGGAGTAAAAGTTTTCCATCTTAAACTCCAAGGACAGGTGTAAATAGAGTCTCAGCGCTTCCTGGGAGGCTGATTACAAAGAAGAACTAATCAGAAGCCTTTCATCTCTGACCCTTTACCTTTAGGTCTGTTCTGGGGCATGAAGGTAACAGGGCTAGTGTCCTTTGTGTCCAAAGAAGTGACAAGCAGCCTGCTGATCAATATCCCCATTTGGTAGAGTCTTCAGAACTTAGAAGAGGGGCTAAAAAATGAAGCAGAAATCAATACTCAGGTCTGGTGAGAAGGAGGTTATCATCCCATTAATTTTGTTTTTAAAAAAGAAGAAAACAACAAAAGCAAACCGATCACCTTTGTGATCATTGGGATATGAAGGCGCTTTTTTAAAAAGCGGGGAACTGAGAGTCTTCAGTTTTAGTCAGTTTAGCGCTCAGGATGAGAAGTGGCTGAGTTTCTCAGACTTGATATCTCTGTGCTGTTCATGGGGGCAGGACTACTCGATTATCCAAGCATCACTAGTTGGACAATAACTCGTCGCAGAAAAACAAGTGAAGAATTTCTGACAACAAACCTGAGGCTTTAGGAGTAAGTAGTTCAATAGATAAATGGGGAAGTTTGGGAGAAATCAACAAAGCAATTAAGAGATTGGGGGGTTGATTTATGGGGAAGATCATTCCTTTGATGTTTAGCTAGGCTAATCAATGATTCTTTTTTTCCTTTTTGACATGGATTAGGGGGCAGGAGATGAGTCAAGGATTAAGATTAGTAACCTACAAATACCTGAAATAAATAATTTTACAGAAGAGACAAGAATTTCTATCACATTGGCCAACATAATTGAGTAGCTCTAAGAAATTAATTCAAAAAGTATTTGTGTTTACAACCTTTTGTAGCCCAGTCAGCTCTCTTTTATTGCTTCTTATATTAAATATACTCTCACTGGCTCTTTGTTAGTTTAAAATAGAAAAAAAAATTGCAATTTAAATTCTTAATAGAAGGATGTTTGAAATATGGAAACAATTGCCTTTAAGAAACAATAAAAAATCACCCCATGAGATATTTAAAATTATATCAACACTTATGTTCTATCAGAGAGAGATGAAAGGACTGAATTTGTCTCTTCCATTTCTGGTATATAAACTTTCTTGTGGGAAATATGTTTTTAAATTTTTTAACATATTTTCTTTTTGAACTTAGAAATTGAATAAATTCACTCTTTTAATTAGCACGAGATTAAGATTTTGGGGGCCCGATTCATAGAACACAATATCTGCTTAGTTCTTATTTGATTTTTAACAATTAAAAAGCATAAGCTAGAGACAGGTGCTCAGTTAGGGTTGCGTCTTGCAGTCAGGACAGCAAATGCTTTGCTCAGCAGGTATTTGTGCCCACCTGCTATGCTTGTTCTGCAGTGGCAGCCCACCTGGTCTTCTTGCTTCTTGTACATGTTGGATCATGTCATTTGCCAACTTAATCATGTCATTTGCCCTCTAAGTGGCTTATCATCACACCTGGGATAGAAATACAAGCCCTGAGCCACATATTTTGAGAACCAACAAGACCATGATCTCCCTCCGCCACTTCTGTTTTCACTTCTCACTGCAGCACCTCCGCCCTGCTCTGGCTGCTTCACCCAAACACACCCAGCTCAGCCCTGATTCTGGGCCCTGGCTATTCTTTCTGCTTGTATTGTTCTTCCTGTAGGTCTGGTCGGAGCTGACACCTGCTCTTTCTTTAGGTCTTGCTCAGGTGACGTCTCTTCAGGAGGATACTCCTAACAGAACTACGTCAAGCAGCACACCCATTCCTGACATGTTTCTTGATTTTTCCAGAGTGCTTATTGCTTTCTAGAATCATATTATTTATTCACTTATGCATTTATTATTTGTCTTCTCCATTAGTTAGTGCTCTCCATGAAAGAGTGACTGTCCTGTCTGTTG